TTACCTAAAAGGCTACATGCCCAAAATTATTGCCACGTGTTCCTAATTAATCAATCTTTGTATATTTATTGATTCCTGTAAAATTGGGCCATTTAATATTAAAATTAACACATTTTTCTGCATTGTTTACATATTTTTATATGCGTTTTGTCATTTCTCTCTCGCAATTGCACCAAGATGACGTCACGCAAAAATTACTCTCAAAAATCCTCTCTCATTGGCACAATCTTGTACTCTATCATTCTTGGGCTTACATAAGTCGAAGCAAAGCGTTAGCCATTTCTTTACACGCCATATACGTACACATACATGTGCGAACATTTATGACAAAGAAGAGAGCGTGCACATTCATAATATAATACACCGAAAATAAGTAATTTTATTTTATTGATAAAGAAAAGGATAAAGGAAAAGGTAAAAATAAAAACACATAAAGATGCGTAAAGATAAATGCAAAAATTAAGGTCAAGGTAAATTTAAAAATTTTGCTAATATAAGGCAAAGGTGAAGGGGAATATGTAGATGTAGAAAATGATGAAAATAAGGATGATAAAGATAAATATTAAGAAAAGGATGAGGTTGAATAAATATGAAGATAAAGGAAGAAAGAAAGATCTCTCTCTATCAACAGCAAATTTGATATGTTTCTTGGCACTTCTACGGTACCCTGCGTACACGTTCGTGGGTAACCGCACTCTAACACTTACCCCCTTATTCTAGAACCCGAATTTTCGTAATTTGTAATTCGTAGCTACACTACTAAAATCGAAAAATCCACATGCTGCAACCCTTGCGGAAACATGTGCAGCATTGCCAGCTATCAGTTGTTTTTCGAAGATAGCTGAATGAAGGAAAACAAAGTGGAAAACAAATAAAAAAACACTCATTATGTGTTTGTTTATTGTAAAATTGGTTAATTTTACAATATTTTGAGGAAAATTATGGGTTCTGATGCATTTGCAATTATAGCAGCTGAGTAAGAGGGCGCTATGGCAATGGATTCACAAGGGTATGCGGAGCTGTCACCATGGGCGCATCTATGTCAGCTTCTGGTTGAATTGTTGAACCACAAGCCCGAACTCCTCCTATGCCTGAAGCTCTGGTTCTCAATCCAGTTAATGCAATAACAGCTTCTTCCAAGCCATTGAAAACATGCACTTTGTTAGGTCCACCACCTATTGTGCTTGCTTCTGCCTTTGGCCGCGCTTAGGAAATATAACCCCTAAGTAGAATTCTCCTTTCTGTGTTGCGGGGAAGAGGGGCTTCCGCATGTCAAAGGTATACAACATTTCTTGTGCATATCACTCCGGCAACGCCGTCCACAGTATTTTTGCGCAGAACCCACGTCGAAATTTGCAAAAAAGTACATAGTGCAAACCGAGTTTATTAATAAGCTAGTGGTAGGAAATTTGAAACATTTATCTTAAATAAAATGTGAATCCTTTGATTACACGTGTATGTTAAAGTTTTTGGATTCGGGTTAAACGTGTTCCAAAAAACTGGGAGTTTTTCAAGAACTATTTTTAAAATATATATTTTTTTTTATGACGAGGTGGTTTATTTTGTGAGAGTCAACAATGAAGTCTCTACGAAGAACAGAGCCCGATATATAACAATTTGAACATGGGCATGATAATTTAGTCAGAATCACGAAAAAATCCTAAATTTTACAGATCCCAAATCCGAAGAAAATGAAAAAATTAAAGCCAATCGAAATTCTGACACCAAATTTGGGATCCCGAATCCCGGTACTATATGCCTTAAACCCGATACAAAAATTCTGAAATCTTAAAATAAAGAAATCCCGGCCAGCCGAGTGAAAAGTGTCAACTATCATCTATCTCCAGTAAAATAAGTCATCTCGAACTTTGGTAATTTTTGGCAAAACACTTTAGTTTTATGTTCCATGCCAATTTTTCAATCATCGTATTTTAAGGTGTAATTTTAATAAACATTAAATAAAACCATATATGTAATACCTCTATATTAATAATAATAATAGATTGGCGCTTACACATATGTTAGTGTTTGGCCGAGCTTCTCCTCTATATTGTTAGTACATAATGATAACAAAGTGTTTTCAATTCGAAATAAAAGAAAGACAACCTATCCCAGTAGAACTTGCGATCATCGCTTGATTGCTCGGTGAGAACTCCCTTTACTAGTTTACGATTACTCCCCATTTCTCCCTATACTTCTGTGCAAGGCGTATTTAACAAGGTAGAAGTGACAACTAACTCGAACTCTCTTGTAGCTAGTTATAATGTCAAAAAACTGTAAAGAAACAAATTAACCCTATGAGGTGCGCGCGCTATGTTTGCTACAAATTAGCATCAATTGAACTTCATCATGGTGAAATTATACCAGGTGTAGTAATAAGAGCGAGATGAACGATTTGACCCTATCTTATTTGAAAATTGCCTTTAAAAATTTGTATAAAATAGCCGCATGTCAGGAAAATAAAGCGAGAAAGCTTTTTTATTACTTCACCAGCTTATAATGTCACCATAGAAATGCATCAGCATAAATACATACCTATGTATGTACGTATACTAATTTTAAGGATTCCCAGCAAAAAATCGGTAATCGCGGCTAGTGGTAACGTGTTCTAGAAGGCATAGCATTATAATTCCTTCGAATTTGTTCGCTTCTTTTAGGCATTGCCGGTAATGCAAAGTAGAATGTACTACAATATTTTATTTATTTCGCTTCTTTGTTTCATTTCGGGGAATGCAAAGTAGAATGTCTCACAATATTTTATTTGTTTCTTTTCTTTGCTTCATTTCAGGGAATGCAAAGCAGAATGTCCGACAATAATTTTTTTTTTTTCGCTTCTTTGCTTCATTTCGGGGAATGCAAAGTAGAATTCTGCATTGTAGTCAGCTGAAAAATAGAGTGAATATCCAAAAATTCTTTTTCTACCGTTACTTTCTGTGGAAATTTGTCTCCCGTAAAAATCATGTTTTGCTTTGTTCAACTTGCAGCGAAGTTGAAATCAGTCACTGAAGTGAAGTACAAGAGTGAGGAAGTACAATTTTAACCCTTTCTCTGCATTTGGTTAATATAACTTGTACAAAAAACAAGTAAGAAATTCTAAGTTCGGGCGGAGCCGAACATTAAATACCCGGCGCAAGTATTAAATATATGTTTTCCACCTTTCCGAAAGCTACCGCTACATGATAAGCCGGGGTGTATACATTTTAAGTAAATTAGCGTCCTTAAATTTCGAAATATTGCAGTTTCAAGCATATCTGAAATTTACCGTTATATGAAAAGCGGCCTCAATTTTAGTCCGATTTCAACAATTTTCAACGGTTTGCTTTTATGTGGCAAGTACAATAACCATACCGAGCTTGGTACAAATTGCTAGAACGGTTAGCGAGGTACATATATCTGATCACAAGTGGGCGGTGCTACGCCCATTTTCCAAAATTTTGTCATAAACGTATTTCTTGGTAAAGAATTGTTGCAATCATCAATTTTGAATAAATTAGCTTCAATATTTACTGATTTATCGAAGATTTTGTATTTCTCGAAATTACCGTTATATGGGATGTGGGCGTGGTTATTGTCCGATTTTAGAAATTTTCGGCCAGTTGGTATGCTGTACCAGGACCAACAACTGTGCCAAGTTTGGAAGAAATTGGTGTAGCGGTTACCAAGATATACACATGTAACCATAAGTGGGCGTG